CAACTCTGATTTTAAGAGGGAAATGCCAGAACACCACAAGTTGCAGTTCAAATATGAAACTGTCAGCAGAGTCATTTTGGCATAAAACCCACTGTATTAGTTGGTCTCCCAACAGGAAACAGATGGCATATTCAAAATAGGAGCATTGGAGGAGAGTTTATTTGCAAAGATGTGGGTGTTGGGGAACCACAAAGGATGGCGCAGTAGCCCAGAGTTTAGCAGCAGCCAGGTGGTGCCCCCACGAGGCTTGAAGGGATGGAGGGGAGAACAGTCACTGGCACCCACAGGGAGAGAGCTGTGCTGCAGGGCCCCAGGAAGAGAAGACGTCGCTGTCCCTGGAGGGACACAGCCAGCCAGGGAAATAAACACCATGACCTCCCTCTCCTGTCTCCCTTGGCCATCTCCCACGGGAGTCTGTGGATGTGGACCACATAGCCTCAGAGGGCAGGGTGGAGACGGCGAGGGGGTGCATGTGGAGGGGCAAACAAAAGGGAAATGGCCCAGCCCAGCCCTTTGACCCCTCAGCACCCATTCTAGACTTTTGTCCAGGTGAAGAGCTTGTCTGCTCCACACAGGGGATCCGTAAGTCACAGCAGCTGTCATATCATTGTGGGCTAATGTCAATCGGTCACACTCCCAGCTGAAAACACAGGTGTTCCTCAGTTAAGGTAATGAGTAACAGGGGGTGCAACGCAGTGAAATTTTTTTTTTTTGAGATGGAATCTTGCTTTGTCACCCAGACTGGAGTGCAGTGGGATGATCTCTGCTCCTCCTGCAACCTCCACCTCCAGGGCTCAAGCGATTCTCCTGCCTCAGCCTCCAACATATCTGGGGTTACAGATGCACACCACCACACCCAGCTATATTTTGTGTATTTAGCAGAGACAGGGTTTTGCCGTGTTGGCCAGGCTGGTCTTGAACTCCTGACCTCAAGTGATCTGCCTGCTTCAGCCTCCCAAAGTGTTGGGATTACAGGCGTGAGCCACCGAGAGCCTGCCCAATGGAGTGAATGTTTACGTCTTCTCGAAATTCCTGTGTTGAAATCCTCACCCTCAAGGGGATGGTGTGAGACGGGGCCTTTGGGAGGTGATTAGGGCACGAGGATGGGACCTTCATGAGTGGGATTAGGGTTCTTATAAAAGAGACACCAGAGGAATCCCTTGCCCCTTCTGCCATATGAGGCCACAAGATGGTGTCTAGGGGCCAAAAAGCAAGCCTTCATGAGACTCCACATCTGCTGACCCTCAATCTGAGGCTTCCCAGCCTCCAGACTGTGGAAATCAATTTCCGTGATATATACTACATCCAGTCTGTAGTATTCCGTTACAGCAGCCCAAATGGACTAAGATGGGGAAGAGAAAAAGCCCCAAGTTCATGAAATGCAACTGCTACAGCCCCCACCTCCTTAGCTGGCCCCAAATCCTAGGCAGGTGATCGTAACTTCCATTCTGTGCTCGCCTTCCCTCTTCTGGCACCTTCCATTCTGTGCTCGCCTTCCCTCTTCTGGCACCTTTTTGGACAGGGTTCTCCTCCTGGTGAGGTAACCCAAATCTTCATTCCTGCAGGGGCTGAGTCCTCGGCTGCTGCAATCGTTTGAACATTGTCCCCACCAAAACTCATTTTGAAGCTTGGTCCCAGTGTAACGGTGTTGAGAGGGGCTGGGACATTTAAGGGGTGTTTGAGTCATGAGGGAGCCACCTTCATGAAGCGATTAGTGCAGGAGTATGTGAGTTCTTCTGCGGGACTCAGTTAATCACTGCAGGCGCCAGCTATTACAAAGTGAGGCTGCCTCTGGCCTGGTACCCGTTTCTCCTTCCGCTTTTCTGCCATGCTTGGAGCAGCTCAAGGCCCCCACCGAATGTGGCCATCCATTTTGGACTTCTCAGCCTCCAGAACCGTGAGCTAAATAAGCCTCTTTCCTTTATAATCTACGCAGTTGGCCTAAGACAGGTGTTTTGTTATAACAATGGAAAACAGACTCAGATGATTGCATAGTATTTAGGTGTCGCTGCAGTTTTCCATTGACTAGGACCGTTGGACCAGGTGTGCTCCAGCGATGTCTCTGATTTCAGGCACTGTCTTCCTCACCCCTTTTCAACAGCAGCAATCCAGTTTCATCCTGTGATTGGGATCCACCCTCTACCTGCTATCACAGCCCCTCTCTTGGCCTCTTGGTCTCCAGCATTCAGACCCCCAAATGAGCAGGAGTGGCTTCAACTTCCGATTCATCAGAATCATGACTGTGTTTCCCGTAACAGCATTTCTTTTCTAGGCCCCAGGAACACCAGTGTCAAGGTTCTGAGATGATGGGTGATAGAGCAGGAGCATCGCCATCTTGGACGAGCACCGCCATTCTAAAGTGCACCTAGATCAAAAGCTGCCTAAATCCACGGGCGTCAGCCTAATGACCGTAAACCACAAATAACATCTCCCACCAGAAACATTCCAAACCACACGCCCCACCGCCCAGAGACATGCCAGCCCCCAGATAACGTCCCCTCTGGAAAGATATCAGCCCCAAGATAACCTCCCCTTAGACTAGAGATATTCCAACTTTTCCATGATAAACTTCTCCCCAACACAGAAACATTCTGAGCTTATAAAGCCCCCTCACCCTAAAACCAATATATACTCTTAGTCTGTAAGAGAAAGTGCTCCTGACCAAAATCGGCCAGAAGCCCCTCTCAGGTTTATTTTCTCTGAAATAAATCTGTTGTTCACTGTTGAGCTGCCTTGCATGTTTCTTCCTTCTTTCTTTAACTCTTACAATGGGAAGCAACATCTTTTTAGTGTGTTATTGGGAATAATAGCATAATTCTCATCCCCAGGCCTTGCTTCTTGGACCCACATATCTTGCTTGTGGGGAAGATGGAACCATATATTGGCCAGTGGTTTAATGAACAAGATGTGTTTCCAGTCCCAGTGGTAGAAATCCTATAGGCAAGACTCCATCCATTGCCTGACCTCCACATGTCCCTACCCTGACTGGGAACCTTGTGAGTAGTTTAGGTCTCTGAGGATCAGTAAAGCTCAGAGCAAGATTTAATAACCCCTGGAAGGCGTGGACATTTCTATTTCCCCAGGATCAGAGGCATATACCCAGCCCATCTTTCTTCTTAGACACATTTTGCAAATATTTTTTTCTTTTTTTTGAGACTGAGTCTTGCTCTGTCACCTAGGCTGGAGTACAGTGGTGTGATCTCGGCTCACTAAAACTTCCACTTCCCATGTTCAAGCTATCCTCTCACCTCAGTCTCCTGAGTAGCTGAGACTATGGGTCCACATCAGCACTCCCGAACTTCCAGGGAATGCAGCCCAGTAGGTCTCAGCCTCATTTCACCCAGGGTAAACAAGCAGATTGCAATGATCACAACAAGCACAGTGCCTCAGTGGTGTTTTGAACAACATTGATCTGTGCTCAAGGCAGTTGATCATATTCTTTTTTTTTTAAAGAGACGGGGTTCACCATATTGGTCAGGCTAGTCTCGAACTCCTGACCTCAGGTGTTCCACCCGCCTAGGCCTCCCAAAGTGCTGGGATTATAGGTGTGAGCCACTGCGCCCGGCTAGAGTCATATCTTTCATTAAGTCTGAAAAAGTCTCAACATATGTCTTTTTTTTTTTTGAGACGTAGTCTTGCTCCATCACCCAGGCTGGAGTACAGTGACAAAATCTTGGCTCACTGCAACCTCCGCATCCCAGGTTTAAGTGATTCTCCTGCCTCAACCTCCCGAGTAGCTGGGATTACAGGCACATGCCTCCATGCCCTGCTAATTTTTGTATTTTTGGTAGAGATGAGGTTTTGCCATGTTGGTCAGGCTGGTCTAGAACTCTTGTGGGAGGCTTGTGAGAGAGGTCATTCCCATAAGCCAGGGCTAACATTCCTTTTTTTTTTGAGACAGAGTCTTGCTCTGTAGCCCAGGCTGGAGTGCAGTGGCGCAATCTCAGCACACTGCAGCCTTGTCCTTCTGGGCTCAAGTGATCCTCCTACTTCAGCCTCCCAAGTAGCTGGGTCAAGAGATCGAGACCATCCTGGTCAACATGGTGAAACCCCGTCTCTACTAAAAATACAAAAATTAGCTGGGCATGGTGGCGCGTGCCTGTAATCCCAGCTACTCAGGAGGCTGAGGCAGGAGAACTGCTTGAACCCAGGAGGCGGAGGTTGCAGTGAGCCGAGATCGCGCCATTGCACTCCAGCCTGGGTAACAAGAGCGAAACTCCGTCTCAAAAAAAAAAAAGATATGACTCTGCAGATTTAATAACCACAGTTATGCTTCTAAATGACATTATCTTGTTTTATGTCTTTGCAAGTGGTATTAAATTTTTCTTGAAACATGGCCAAATATAAACAAAAATTAATTAATTTTAGAGTGAGTCTCTCTGTCACCCAGGCTGGAGTACAGTGTGGTCATCTGGGCTTATTGTAACCTCATTGCAATCACTTGGCAGGTTCAAGTGATTCTCCTGCCTCAGCCTCCCAAGAAGCTAGGATTACAGGCACATGTCACCTCCCAAAGTGCTGGGATTACAGGCTTGAGCCACTGTGCCTAGCCTAATTTAATTAATTTTCAAATCAGCTAATTAAGTGAAGATACAAATTCAAAATTGCAGAGAAAGAACATCTAGATCAGGCCGAGGCTGGGCACCTAACAATGAATACCCTTTCACTTGTAATTGACACAGAAATCTATTTAAATTGTCTTAACAAGGAGCAGTTATTGCTCATGTTACTGAAGATAAGTATGGTTGAGTTCAGGCGGGAAATGATGCCGCTTTCAATCAGGCTTCAGGATCCACCCCCTTTAAATCTCAGCTTTGCTCTTCTCCATGCTAGCTTCATTCCCAGGCTCTTTCTCCAACTAAAATGTAAAGCTTAGACCAGGCACGGTGGCTAATGCGGGAGGATCGCTTGAAGTCAGAAGTTCAAAACCAGCTTAGGAAGCATAGTGAGACCCTGTCTCTATAAAACAAAATGTAAATGTATTATTAATTTTATTTTTTAAAATTATGAAACAGTTTGTGAATTTGCACGTCATATTTATGCTGGGGCCATGCTAATCTCTGTATTCTTCCAATTTTAGTATATGAGCTGCAAAGTGAGCACTGTCAATGTAAGTAAAATAAATGTCACTATCATGAGGACAGTGACTTTCTCTCTTTTTGTTCACTATTTAATCCCCAACACTTAAAAAATTGTATTATATTGCTGCACATTATAGGCATTAAAAAATTTTGCAGGGAAAATAGGAGGGGTGCAGGAGTGGTGGCTCACACCTATAATGTCAACACTTTGGGAGTCTAAGGCAGGAGGATCTTGAGCCCAGGAGTTCAAGACCACCCTGGGCAAGAAAGTGAGACACCAGCTCTACAAAAAAAAAAAAAAAATTTAAAAAGAAGGGCCAGGCATGGTGGCTCATGGCTGAATCTAAGCACTTTGGAGGCCAAGGCGGGGATCACCTGAGGTTCAGAGTTCAAGACCAGCCTGACCAACATGGTCAAACCCCGTCTTTAAAAAAATAATTTTTTTTTAATTAAAAAGAAAGGAAGAGAAGGTGGAGGCATAGCAGCACAACAATTCCTGAGCAGAATAAATAAAAAACAAGATCGTGTTAAATACATTTTAGAGAAACTAAATAACACTGAGGACAAATAGATGATTTAAAAAATAACCTGAGCTTCCTTTTGAATTCTTTTATCTGGCAAAAGAAAAAAGAAAGAAAGAAAGAAAAAAGAAAGAAAACCTGAGGGGCCAGTCATGGTGGCTCAGGACTGTAATCCTAGCACTTTGGGAGGCCAAGGTGGGTGGATCACTTGAGGTCAAGAGTTTGAGACCAGTCTGGCCAACATGGTGAAACCCTGTCTCTACTAAAACTACAAAAATTATCTGGGCCTGGTGGCGCATGCCTATGGACCCAGCTACTTGGGAGGCTGAGGCAGTAGAGAACGGCTTGAACCTGGGAGGTGAAGATTGCAGTGAGCCAAGATTGTTCCATTGCACTGTAGCCTGGGCGACAGAGAGAAACTCCATCTCAAAAAATAAAAACAAAAATAAAAAACCTGAAAGATTACCTGCCAAGCAAAAGAAGACAGAAATCAGTGGAATTCTAAATTCAAAGTGCTGACAAGAAATAACTCATCTTAGAATTCAACCACCCACCCCTGGGTTGGAATTTTCATCAAAATTCCACTCAGGGTGTTTTTGTTGCCTGTTGCTGCATAACAAATAACTTTCAAACTTAGTGACTTAAAACAACTACCACCAGCCAGGCACAGTGGCTCGCGTCTACCATCCCAGCATTTTGGGAAGCTGAGGCAGGAGGATTCCTTGAGAGCAGGAGTTCAAGACCAGCCTGGCCAATACAGTACAACCCCGTCTCTACAAAAAAATTCATAAAATTAACCAGATGTGGTGGTGTGTGCCTGTAGTCCCAGCTACTCAGGAGGCTGAGGCAGGAGGATCACTTGAGTCTGAGAGGTCAAGTCTATAGTGAGCTGTGATCACATCACTAAACTCTGGCCTGGGCAACAAAGCAAGACCCTGTTTCGAAGAAACAAATAAATAAAAACCCACCACCATGTATTTGTTCACAATTCTGTAGTTTGGCAGGGCTCAGCTGGGATGGCTCATCTGTGTTCTATGCAGTGTTGGCTGAGGTAGCTCAACTGGGACTGTGAGATCCACCAGCTTCATTCACCCATTCAGTGCCTCAGCTGAAGGGATCAGGATGGCTGGTGGCTGGCTGGGCATCCCTCTCTCCTTTTGTTGTCTTTCATCTTCCAGGTCCTTTCTCTCTCCAGTAAAGCAGGTGAACTTGGTTCCATAATGGCTGGCTCCCAAGAAGGTGAAAATGGAAACTGCCAGGCCTCCTAAGGCCTAAGCCTGGATCTAGCATAATATCACTTCCACCTTCCACTAGTCAAAGTGAGTCACAAGCCCGGTCCAGATTTAAGGGGAGGGCAAATAAATTCTGCTTCTTCTTCTTCTTCTTTTTTTTTTTCTAAGATGGAGCCTCACTCTGTTGCCTAGGCTAGAGAGTAGTGGCAAAATCTCAACTCACTGCAACCTCTGCCTCCCAGGTTCAAACAGTTCTCCTGCCTCAGCCTCCTGAGTAGCTAGGATTATAGGCACACACCACCATGCCCAGCTAATTTTTGTTTTTATGATTTTTTTTTTTTTAAGATGGAGTTTTGCTCTTGTTGCCCAAGCTGGAGTATAATGGTACGATCTTGGCTCTCTGCAACCTCCGCCTCCCGGGTTCAAGCGATTCTCCAACCTCAGCCTCTTGAGTAACTGGGATTACAGGTGCGCACCACCACACCCAGCTAATATTTTGTATTTATATCAGAAATTGGGTTTCATCATGTTAGCCAGGCTGGTCTCGAACTCCTGACCTCAGGTGATTTGCCTACCTCGGCCTCCAAAAGTGCTGGGATTACAGGCATGAGCCACCATGCCTGGCCAATTTTTGTTTCGTTTGTTTGTTTTTGCCTCAAAAAGTGACATTTATTCAAAGAAATAAAAATGACAAGATGTCCATCCCTTGACTCCTGCTGCTCCTCTCCCTCCTGCTGCTCTTCAGCCTCCCCAAGACTGAACTCTGGCTGCGGCTAGGTGGCAGGATAGCCCCTCAAATAAGGGCAGCAACATTGAGGGCCATTTCCTCAATGGAGATGTTGTAAAAGGTCTCTACATCCTGAAGAGTCCTCTTGTCTTCTGTCACCATATTAACAGCCACACCCTTGCAGCCAAACTGTACCTCAACCGATTCCGTGGATATAGTTTTTCCTGTTGGTGGGAAGATCATAGCTGATGACTGAAGAAACCTACTGCACATCAATGCCTCTGGCCTATGTCAAGAAAGACAACTCTTCTGATGGATTTATAAGGAAAGAAAAAAAAAAGAAAGACAACTCTTCAGCATGTGCACGAGAATCTTTCCCGAAGGGACTACACAGGAAGCCACGTAGGCAACTAAGGAAGGCAGAGGAAATAAGCATCTCTGTTCCCCAAAGACCTTAGGCATGCAAGATGGTATTCCAAGTCGCTACTTTCCCGAGAGGGGCAGCGGATGTCTCCTTCAGAGGGAATCACCTTGGATAATTTTTGTATTTTTAATAGAGACAGGGTTTCACCATGTTATCTAGGCTGGTCTCAAACTCCTAACCTTGTCCCTCGTGATCCGCCCACCTTGGCCTCCCAAACTGCTGGGATTACAGGTGTGAGCCACCACACACCTGGTTTTCTGTTTTTTGTTTTTTTTTTGAGACTGAGTCGCCCTTTGTCACTGAGGCTGCAGTACAGTGGCAAAATCTCAGCTCACTGCAACCTCCACCTCCCAGGTTCAAGCAATTCTGCCTCAGCCTTCTGAGTAACTGGGATTACAGGAATGCACCACTACACCTGGTTAATTTTTGTATTTTTGGTAAAGATGGGCCTTCGCCATGTAAGCCAGGCTGGTCTTGAGTCCTGATCTCAAGTGATCTGCCTGCTTCAGCCTCCCAAAGTGCTGAGATTATAAGAATGAGTCACCACACCCAGCCAAATTCCACCTCTTCTTCGTCTTTTTTTTTTTTCTCTCTGTTGCCTTGGCCCGAGGGCAGTGTCAGGATCTTGGCTCACTGCAATCTCCGCCTCCTGGGTTCAAGCGATTCTCCTGTCTCAGCCTCCCAAGTAGCTGGGACTACAGGTGCATGCCACCAAGCCCAGCTAATTTTTTTGCATTTTTAGTAGAGACAGGGTTTCTCCATGTTGTTCAGGCTGGTCTTGAACTCCCAACCTCAGTGATCCGCCTACCTCAGCCTCCCAAAGTGCTGGGATTACAGGCGTGAACCACTGTGTCCGGTTGGCAAGATATTTTTATGTAGATATTTGTGTGAAGTTCACAGTCACTGCTGTGTATAATTTAGTAATTCGTAATGATTCTGGTATAGAAATGGCTTCCAAAAATACTCTACCACCTACTGTGCCTATCAACCAGTACCACAGTATAAATGCAAGTTATAAGTAGTCTTCAAATATGAACGTGGCTTACAGTCCCTGGAAGTACAGGTAATGTAAGGGAACCAATCTTTGAAATGTATGGAGCCAGAAGTTAAACTATAGAAGATGCTTTCAATATTATGGAGTTCATGCATGTAATCCCAGCACTTTGGGAGGCTGAGACGGGAGGATCACTCAAGCCCAGGCATTCAAGACCAGCCCGGGCAACATAACAAGATCCTGTCTTTGTATTAAAAAAAATTTTTTTAATTAAAACAACAAAACAAATCTTACAGCTCATATATGAAAGAAACCTGATCAAGATTTCCCCAACATTGACAGCAACCCTAAAATTGCACTTTTCCAATAATGTGTTGGAAGCTCAAAGAAACTTTTCTAAATTATAAATTGAAAACAACAGTAATCTGATTTAATAAAAACTTTTTTTTCTTTTTTGAGACAGAGTTTCGCTGTTGCTACCCAGGCTGGATTGCAGTGGCACGGTCTCAGCTCACCACAACCACCACCTCCTAGGTTTGAGCGATTCTCCTGCCTTAGCCTCCCAAGTAGCTGGGACTACAGGTGTGTGCCACCATGCCCAGCTAATTTTTGTATTTTTAGTAGAGACGGGGTTTCACCGTGTTGACCAGGATGGTCTCAATCTCTTGACCTTGTGGTCCACCCGCCTAGGCCTCCCAAAGTGCTGGGATTATAGGCGTGAGACACTGCGCCCAGTAATAAAAAATTTTTTTGAAGCAAGGTCTCACTCTGTCACCCAGGCTGGAATGCAATGGCACGATTACAACTCACAGTAGTTCAGACCTCCCTGGCTCAAGGGATCCTCCCACCTCAGCCTCCCCAGTAGCTGTGCGCCACCATGTCCAGCTAATTTTTATAGAGACTGGTTTTCACAATGTTGCCTAGGCTGAGTGATCTTTCTGCCTCAGCTGTCCAAAGTGAGCCACTGCACCCAGCTTTTTTTTTTTTTTTTTTTTAAACACAGGATCTTTCTCTGTTGCCCAGGCTGGAATGTAGTGGCATGATCTTGGCTCACTGCAACCTCCATCTCCCAGGCTCAAGTGATCTTATTACCAGAAAGGGGTCCCAATTCAGACCCCAAGAGA